ATTGACCCAACCTCTTCATTTTGCAAATGAAAAACTGAATACAAGTGACTTGCACTAATTAAGAAGGGTAATTATTAATTGAATTGACTTATTAATTTAATGGTAGAACTAGGATTTGATTCGAAATCCTCTGACTCAAAATTCAGCAATTTTTTCACTATACCACACTGTTTGCTTCTTCAAAAATAGATAAACATTCCATTTTTAACTATCAAAGAAAAAAGAGATAAATGTAATTCTCTTATAGAATACAGATGATGTAATAATGGCTGCTGAATCCAAGTAAAATATGATCTTATTTTTGGGATGCCACCTCCTAAAATTGAAGCTAAAAAGCAGAATGTATATGATAAATGTACTTCTGATAAAAGAAGTGTCCTTTTTGAATGCCAGTGAGGAATGTAAGGTATCACCCTAAAAAGGAAGGAATCAATTTAAAATATAACAAGATAAACTGTAATCTTGGAAACTGCAACAGTGTCTTTCCTGAGGAAGTGTTATCACAACAGATGTTTTAGTGAATGGATAAGGAATATTGAAAAAGAAAATCTGTTTAGTAAGAATTTGTCAGGGTTTCTTGAACACCGTATAGGGGTGAGTCCCTTACATCTAGATTATAAATTCTAGACTTTAGGCAAAAAATATCCTCATGCTGGAAAAGGGGGATTCATCAAAATACTTCTTCTTGAAAAATATAAGATGGAAGAGTTATGGCTGTATAAAAAAGTCCATTTTGAAAAAAAGATCTGGGAGTTTTAGTGGACAACAAGATAAAAGTCCAGAGTTTGATATGGCAGGCAAAACAAAAACAAAAACAAACAACCTAAGGATGTTAATGTCTGTATTGAGAAAAGTATCTAGAATAAGAGATATTACAGTTCTGTCATACTTTGCCCTCTTCAAACCACACATAAAGTATTTTGTTCACTTCTGGGTGCCACATTTTAAGAAGAATATTGATAAGTTGCAGAGTCCAGAGGATAGTAACCAGGATGGTCAGAATTTTTGAGAACATGTTATGTGAAGATCAGTTGAGGTAACTGAAGATTTTTAGCCTGGAGAAGAAAAGATTAACTTGGGTCATGATAAATATCTTCAAATAGTTGAAAGGTTGCTATATGGATGAGGATTAGACTTATTCTACTTGGCCCTAGAGGACACATTTAGGTATCATAGATCAAAATTGTGGAGTCAGATTAAAGTTCACTGTAGCCAATCAATTAATCAACAATTATTTATTGAGCCTACTCTGTACCAGAAGCTGTGCTAGGCACTGGGGATATAAAGAGAGATATGAAACAGTCCCTGCCCTTAAAAAAAGATTATATTTTATCATAGGGAGAAACATGTAAACACGCAAGAATAAACAAAATAAATACAATTTCAAGGTGGGGGTATTAATGACTGGGGTGGGAGCATCAGGGAAGGGATCATACAAAAGGTGTTGCTTGAGCTGAGTTTTGCAGCAGACTAGGGCCTGCAGATGCAGAGATAAGGAGGGAGTAAATTCCAGGCATGGTAAACAGAATAAGTAAAGATACAGAGAGAGGAAGTGAAATGATTTATATCAGAAGAAGCAAGAAGACCAATTTGACTGGATCATAGAGTTTATGAAGTAGAGGGAATTTTTTTAAACTTCAGTGTTATTTATTTTTCACATTCTTTTTGAAAAAATACTTTTGAGTTTTAAATTCTCTTCCACCCTCCTGCCCCTCCTTGACCCATTGATAAGGCAAGAAATATGTGATCTATACACATGAAATCAGGCAAAACATTTTTTGTATTAGCCATGCTAGAAAAAGAAAAAAACCTAGAAAATTAAGGAAAATGAAAAAAGTATATTCTTCAGTCCATACTCAGAGTTCATCAGTTATCTTGGATTCTATCATTTCATCATTATCTTGGGTTGTATCATTGTCTCAGATCATTGACATTATCAGAGTAGCTAAGTATCTTACAGTTGATAATTGTTACAGTATTGTCCTTACTGTGTACAATGTTCTCCTGGTTCTACTCACATTACTTTGCATTAGTTCATATAGGTCATCCTGAAATGATCCTGATTGTCACTTCTTATAACACAATAGTGTTCCATCAAACTCATATAGTACAACTTGTTCAGCCATTCCCCAATTAATGGACATCCCCTCAGTTTCCAATTCTTTGTCACCACAAAATGAATTACTATAGATATATTTGTACATATAGCTCCTTTTCCTTTGATTTCCTTGGGATATAAACCTAGTAATGATATTGCTGAATCAAAGAGTATGTGCAGTTTTATAGCCCTTTGGGCCATAGTTCCAAACTGTTCTCCAGAATGGTTGAACCAGTTCACAACTACACAAATGGTGCATTAGTTCTTATTAATGCATTATTAGTGCATCAATCTCAATTTTTCCAAATGCATTTGCCATTTTCCTTTTCTATCACGTTAACCAATCTCATATTGTGAGGCAGTACATCAGAGTTGTTTTAATTAGCATTTATCCAATCAATAGTTATTTAGAATTTTTTTATATGACTATAGACAGCTTTGATTTCTTCTTCTGAAAACTGTTCATATAGTTGATCATTTATCAATTGAGGAACGGCTCTTATTTTTAAAATTTAACTCAATTCCCTATGTGTTTGAGAAATGAGGCCTTTATGAGAGAAATGTGCTCTAAATCTCTCTCTACTTCCCCCCCCCCCCAGTTTCTTGCTTAACTTCTAATTTTTTCTGCATTGGTTTTGTTTGTACAAAACCCTTTCAATTTCATGTAATTAAAATTATCTATTCTATTTCCTATGATCCTCCATGTCTCTTATTTGGTCAAAAATTCTTCCCTTATCCATAGATCTGACAAGCAATTTTTTATATGCTTTCTTATTTTGGTTATGTCATGTTTTATGTCTAAATCATGTAGTCATTTTGACCTTATTTTAGTGTATAGTGTGAGATGTTAGTCTGTACCTAGATTCTGTCAAACTGCTTTCTAGTTTTCCCAGCAATTTTTGTCAAATAGTGAGTTCTTGTCCCCAAAGCTTGGATCTTTGAGTTTATTAAACACTAGATTAATATGGTCATTTACTACTGTGCATTGTATATCTAACCATTCTATTTCTTAGCCAGTCCCACATTATTCTGATGGTTATCACTTTGTAATATAATTTGAAATCTAGTACTGCTAGGTCACCTTCTATTACATTTTTTTCATTGATTCCTTTGATATTTTTGAGCTTTTGTTCTTCCATATGAATTTTGTTTGTCACCATTTTTTTCTAGCTCTACAAAATAATTTTTGGTAGTTTGGTATGGCACTGAATAAAGAAATTAATTTAGGTAGAATTGCCATTTATATTTTATTGGTTCAGCCTACCCATGAGCAATTAATATTTCTCCAGTTGTTTAAAGCAGTCCTTATTTGTGTAAAAAGTATTTTGTAAAGGTGTTCACATAGTTCCTGGGTTTATCTTGGCAGCTAGATTTCCTTGTATTTTCTATTGTCTGCAATTATTTTAAATAGAATTTCCTTTTCAATCTTTTCCTTAGTGGGCTTTGTTGGTAATATATAGAAATGAGGATGATTTATGTGGGTTTATTTTATATCCTGCAGCTTTGCTAAAATTGTTTATCATCTCAACTAGTTTTGTAGTTAGTTCTTTAAGATTCTCTAGGTATACCATCATATCATCTGCAAAGACCGGTAGTGTTATTCCCTCGTTGACCATTCTTGTTCCTTCAATTTCTTTTTTCTTGTCTTTTTGCTATAGCTAGCATTTCTAGTACAATATTGAATAAGAGTGGTGATAATGGGTATCCTTGCTTCACCCCTTATCATATTCGGAAGGCTTCTAGTTTATCCCCATTAAAGATAATGCTTGTTCTTGATTTTAGATTCTACTTATCATTTTAAGGAAAGCTCCATTGATTCTTATGCTTACTAGTGGTTTTTTTCCCCCTCAATAGGAATAAGTATTATATTTTGTTAAAAGCTTTTTATGCATCTATTGAGATAATCATATGATTTTTGTTGTTGTTTTTATTATTGATGTAGTCAATTATGCTTATAGTTTTCTTAGTATTGAACCAGTCCTGCCTGCCTGGTATAAATCCCACCTGGTTATATCATATGATATTTGTGATGTATTGCTATAATATTCTTACTAGTATTTTATTTAAAATTCTTGTATCAATATTCATCAGGGAAACTGGTTTATAGTTTTTCCCCCACCTTTGTTTTTGCCCTTCCTGATTTAGGTATCAAAACCGTATTTGTGTCATAGAAGGAATTTAGTAGGACTCTTTCTTTACCCATTTCCCCAAATAGTTTATGTTGTATTAGAATTAATTATTCTTTAAATGTTTAGTAGAATTCACTTATAAATCCATCTGATTCTGGGGATTTTTTCTTAGGGAGTTCATTGATGGCTTGTTCAATTTCTTTTCCTAAGTTGGGGTTATTTAAGTATTCTACTTCCTCTTCTGTTAATCTGGGCTATATATATATATATATATATATATATATATGGTAAATATTTATCTATTTCACTTAGTCAGATTTATTTACATATAATTTGGCAAATTGGTGGTGCATTCACCCTTTTTGTTTTTGATATTGGTAATTTGATTTTCTTCTTTATTTTTTAAAATCAAATTAAAGTTTATTGTTTTCTTAAAAACCAGCTCCTAGTTTTGTTTACTAGTTCAATGTTGTCTTTTTTAAAGCATTTACTTTCAATTTTATTAATTTCTCCTTTGATTTTTAGGCTTTCTAATTTGGTGTTTAACTGGGGGAATTTAATTTATTCTTTTCTAATTTTTTTAATTTTGTGCCCAATTCATTGATCAGCTTTTTTTTTTTCCTTTTAATTGATATTAGCATTTAGAAATATATATTTTTGCCTAATTATCGCTTTGGCTATATCCCATAAATTTTGATATGTTGTCTCATTGTTGTCATTATATTTAAAGAAATCATTGAGTATTTCTATGATTAATTATTTTACAGATAAAACCAAACATTCAGAAATTTGCCAAAGACCAAGGATCACAAAGATGAATCTTCCCGACTTTAGGCCCAGCATTCTATCCACTGTGCCACCTAGCTGCTTTGTTGAAACCATACTGAGAAGCAATTGAACTCTGCTGAATTATAATGGTCCTGGAGAATGGATGATGTACTTTCCATGTCCTGGTAAAGAGGTGAGGGACTATGGAGGTAGAATACTGCACAATCTGCCAAAAGTTGTCATTGTGTTGATCTGTTGGTTTTGCTTAACTATATTTTCTCTGGTACAGAAGCAGGAATCAGTGGTGGTAGTGGGGCTGGATGGAAGGAAAACTAAGATGCGAAAAGAAAATATGTCAACAAAACATGTTTTTTCTTTTTAGAATGTCTTGTCCTTGTAAAGTTCTCAAGAATCAGTGAAGTCTAGTAATTTCCCCAGTTAGTGACACCATTATAAATTGTCAGCTGTGATTACCTTCACAACAATTGTATGAAAGTAGTTATTAATTGTAAAATCTGTTTAATTATCATATAAAATCAATCCACCAACTGGAAAGGTTTTTAATTATCAAGTGAGTATGAATGTATGGCCAACCATGAAAATATTCCTATGTGAATCTGGGTCAATGTAAATCTGTGGTGTAGAAATCAGAGTATATTGGAGTGTGGTATTGGGCAAATTTCTGAGCATTTGGTTTTATCTTTAAAATAGGAATGATAATATTTGCTCTACTAACTTTACAGATTTTTTTTTAAACCCACTTCTGATATCTTCCCTGCAGGGAAATTCAATTAGGAAATTCCTTTCACTGATACAGATTAAAGATCCATACTTGCTCTGAAACTTAGTTTTAGAGTTGCCTGAAGACAATGAGATTGAGTTGGGTGAGCCCGCACATTCAGGGGAAATAGGAAAACACCAGTAAGAATACTCCTTGAGAGCATGCTGGGATATTAAGGCCATAAACTTTGCATGCCTATGCAAGGGTATTGCAGCTAGTAAATGTCAGAGGTGACACTGAAACCAAGCTCCTTGTGACTCTGACACTAGCCCTCCCTGTTTACTACGTTGTAACTATTTGCAAATGTTGGGGAAGAGCAAATTACAGAAGATACAAAAAACACTTAAACCCTACAAGAATCTGTGTTGCAATTGATGCAAACGACAGCCCCTGTACTTTATCAGAGGTGCTCTATGATTTGCTGTGGCCAAAAAAATTCATTGCCTCCTGTTGAAGTCTTCAGAAATAAGTGTAAAGTGTCATTGCTGTTATTATTACAGTGAAATGTAATGAGGGAGGGGCCAATACAGCCATAGTCCTTAGAGCATACACAATATATTCTGTGTGTTATGAACCAACATGGAGATTTGTTGAGCTTGGGCAAGTGTATTGAAGGGGCTTATTCCCTATTCAGATTATGCATGAGCATTTTCTGACTGTTTACTTTCTGCTTACTGCAGGGAGATGAAAAGCCTGGTTACTGGCTGCTGAGCCAGAAGAGATCATGCATATAAAAGGCACAAATCCTGGTAGTTTTCAAATAAGGACCAGGAAGAAATGCTGCCAGACCTCCTAGGGGGGTGGGTGGGGGCAGGGAGAGATGATATCAGCATGCATGCTGCAGCTTCCTTATCTCCTTAATGAGGGCCACCATGTAGCTTGGAACACATGAGACCTATGTTTCGTCTACTCTTTTTGTGCGAACCCTTTTCTGATCATATTGCTGTTCAGTCCTTTCAGCCTGTGTCCAACTATTCTTGACTCTATCTGGGATTTTCTTGGCAAAGATACTGGAGTGGTGCACCATTTCCTTCTCCAGCTCATTTTACAGATAAAGAAAAGGGTAAGATAAACAGGATCAAGTGACTTGCCCAGGGACATATAGCTAGTAAGTGTCTGAGACTGGATTTGAACTCAAGTCTTCCTGATTCCAGGACCAATACTCTATCCACTGCAACACCTAGCTGTCCCTGATCTTAGATTATTGAATATCAGAGATGGAACAAACCAGAGCTTTGAAAAGCCAGAAGAGCCACTAGAAATACAGTAGCTAGAGTCCATAGCAGAATCTGCTGGTAGTGATGCATAGCCAGTTCTGGTAAGGAATAGGCCCTGAGAAGTGAGCTATTTGACTCAAGGAAGCATCCCAGATGCCATGCCAGAGAAGGAGTGGATTTCAGTTGTGTCCAACTCTTTGTAACCTCATTTGGGGTTTTCTTGGCAGAGATTCAAGAATGGTTTGCCAGCCATATCCTTCTCCAGCTCATTTTACAGGTGAGGAAACTGAGGCAAACAGGATTAAGTGACTTGCCCAGAGTCACACAGCTCGTAAGTGTCTGAGGCCAGATTTAAACACACGAAGATGAGTCTTCTTGACTCCAGGCCCACTCTATCCACTGTGACATGTAGCTGCCCTGTTGAAACCATACTGAGAGGCAATTCAACTCTGAGGAATTGTAATGCTCTTAGAAAATGGATGAGTGATGTAACATGCTTTCCTTGTCCTGGTAATGTGCTCGTCCTTGTCCAGAGTTCATCCATTAGCTATGTCATAACCAAATGTGTACTGGGGTTGGGGATGGGGGGGGTGCTTTGTAGCAAACACTTTGGGTCTGTTGTCCCTGGGGATTAAGGTGATAGGAGAGTATGCTCCTGGTTTGGGATGTTTTGTTTGGTACTCAGTAAACATCCATTTACAAAAGCTCATTCATGTTAATTGGTTAATTGATATAGAGGAGAGATCAATTGACCAAATCTGTGTTGGGGGCAGTGATAATTGGTTAAATGATATTGAGGATATGGTAACTGATCAATTGAAATTTAGGGAGAATATACTAGATGGACATTGTCGAGTGACAGTACTAGAGAGACATCCTCCAACTTCTCAGGGTTATTCTTAGAATCTTGAGGGGAAATGAAGCCAGCTGAGCTCTATCTGGGGATACAATCTGCTAATTTGAGTGAGGTTGAAAAAGTGAGCCCAGAGCTTACATGTGCTACCCCCCAAAAATATCATGCACAGCAAAATTTGCGTTTGCATTATAAAGAGTTAGAATATCCATTGAATGGGCAGTCTGTGTAATTCTATTAAACTTACATTTGTAGAATAATAGATGCATGGATTGACTGACTCCATTGCTTTAAAACATAATCCAGATGATTGGAGGCATTTATATAGAGTCAGTCAGATATGTCATGATAATCAGGTCTTCCTGCTTCTACATTCTTTCCTTTGGGTACTGCTCTAGAATCAAATATAAACTGCTATTTTGCAATTGATTTCATTTGGTATCTCTGTTGACATTTTGTGTAGCTGCCCAAGTCACATTTGTTTGTCCCTGAATTAAGTTCAGAAGTTCAGTCTTCCTGTAAATCTGTCTTTGTGTCAAGGAAAGCTGTTATCTCTGCACCACTGACTGTCCTTGCAGGATATAGATGGACACAAACAATCAGCATTCCACAGAGACAAGAAGAAACTCTCATTCTTTCCACCAACAGAAGTTAGATGACTTGATTCTATATCCTGCCCACAACTTGTTCTATTTTTAAACTTCCCTAACCTATGAGAAGTCATGTAAACCCCACCTCATGGTCTTTTTGCTTACTGAAGAGCTAAAGACCAGATTTATTTGCAAACTGCATGCATTTGCCAATAAATTGCTTTGCTCAGACTTAGTTTCTCAGTTGAATTGTAACACAGCAAAAAAAAAAAATACAAAGGGTAGAAAATGATTATACATGTGACAGTAATTTCCATCATTTTGTTATTGTTGTTTGGTTGTTTACAGACGAGTCCAACTCTTCATGACCTCATTTAGGGTTTTCTTGGCAAAGATACAGGAGTGGGTTGCTATATCCTTCTCTAAGTTCATTTTATAGATGAGAAATCTGAGGCAAATAGGGTTAAGTGACTTGCCCATGGTCACATAGCTAGTAAGTGTCTGAGACCAGATTTGAACTTATAAAAATGAGTCTTCTTGACTCCAGGCCAAGCACTCTATCCACTGTGCTACCTAGTCACCTTCTATTATTTATCAATTATTAATTCTATACCTACAGAATCTATATACTGACTTCATAATATTATCACATAATTATCACTGTTTTCTGGATATTTTTGGATCCTCTTTATTGTGTGCTCAACATGAATTTTTTGGTGTTATTGTTGTCTTTAATCATGTGGTTGTAGTAAACACGTATATTTTCTATTTGGTTTTATTTCTTCACTTTGCACCACTTCATATGTCTTCCCATTAAAAAAAAATCTTCATATTGACATTATCTTATCACCTCTGGTGTGAGGGCTTGCTGAACACTTTTCAGGGCTGCTTATCACCTGTGGTGTCTACCTGGAACTCAACTCTCACCTTTGGTTCCAAGAAGCTATAGCATGCCTAGCTGCCACACCCCAGTAAATAGTCTCAGCAGATGGGCCAAACCAGGTCGAGGGTAACCACCGGGACTCAAACTCATCGGTGAGTGAGGGGATGTCTACACCAAGCATATGAAGACTTTCCCTGGCAGAATGGTAGATGAGAACAATGTGTTCCAATGGCTATGAAGGTGACTTAAGTAGGCTTGGTTGGACATTGAAGGTACCAAGGTCATCCACTGCATCCCAGGCCATCACCAGTTGTCTTGATTTTCATCTTGCAACTGGACTTTGGAGAGAGTGAGGCTGATGACTTTGTGCAACTCTGCCTCACTTGAATCCAATTCACTAGCAAGTCAAACCATCACCCATGATGTCACTGGTCCTTTTCGAAAACGAAGGACAAACAAGAACAACTCCATTACATCCGTGTACCTTATTTTATTCATCTTCTTAGCTCCCTTTTGTTGTGCCTAGAGGTATGGAGAGTAACAATGGAGAAATTTGCTTTTATCTGAGTACTTCATTGAGCACATATAGCTCAGGCTAAAGCTTCAGGGATAGATGTATTTTCATATAGGTAGCTCAAAGCTTATCCTGTGCTATACTGCTGGCCCCTTCCTTTACCTGGAAGAGTATGCTTTGGGCTGGACCTCCATAGATGCTGTCATTCTCTCTTCTCCCTTCTCCTGCACTGCTCTGCCTCATTTAAATCCAATTCACTTGAAAGTCAAGACATCACCTTCCTGACATCATTGGTACCCCCCCTTTTTTTTTGGTGAGGCAATCAGGGTTAAGTGACTTGCTTGCCCAGGATCTG